CAACAACAACAACAACAACAGCAACAGAAAAAGCAACGGCGCGTATACGTAATAATAAATGAGAAGTGGAAAAGTTTCGCCGCCGCCGTGCTTATTGTCAAGCTCGGCCAGGCCATAAAAAACAAACTTCAATAGCAATAAGGCGACAAAAAGAGACCAGAAAAGAGCAAAAACAAAAAAACAAAAAACCAAAAAAATCGCCGGACCAAAGGAACGTCGGGGCAGAAACAAAAACAGCAGCAGCAACGGCAAAAAGTTCAAGGCACTGACTTTATAGCTGCAATAATGCCCAAAGAGGACCGGTGGACCCCACCAGCTAGCGGCGGGGGATTGGGGCGAAAAAGGTGAGCCACACGCCAACAACATCAGCACACAAAACAAAGCCAGTTGCAGCCAAGAGCGACAGGGGGCAAGTAGCTATGTAGCTATGTAGCTATGTGGCAGGAGGAAGCAGCCAGGAAGCAACAAGGCCACGCCATACCGCGCCAAATGTGTTGAGGCACTTTGGCGAGGTAACGAAATGTAACAAAGTGCCGGGGCGTGGCGGGTGAGGGTGAGGGAGTGGAGAGGAAAGTTGTGGTGTCGGTAAGGACTATGACTATCGCATCGGGTTAGGTTTGTTATGTGGACTATACCGGAAATTTGTGTTTAGAAGGCCGCTGATATTGTTCTTGCTGCTCTTTTCTTTTCGTTCTTTTTTGTTTTGCACAAGCTCAGACGATTGTACAACGAACAACACAAACATTTTTGATTATATTTAATGTCATTAAAGTTAGTTATTAAAGCGGGTTAAACCTGAAGCTGTTGCTATCTTTTTAAAGATTTTATTTACTATTAGAAAAGGTCTTGAAAGTTGGTTTGAAGTCAAAGTTTAAAGGAGACTCTTCCTTCAGGCTGTACATTATTTCCCTCTGTATGCTTTGAGTGCTGAGCAACAAAAGTATATTTGATCGATGACTTTTAATCGGAGTTATTACCCATTCATTGGCTCACATTAACTAACAATAATGCCAACAATCAGCAACATTTAATATTTATCTATGCGGAGAGGCGATATTAATGACCAGACCCAGAGCCAGGGCAAAAGGACAAGGGGCACGCAAAGTCAAAGTAAAACGGGGCACAATCCCAATGGACAGGTAAGCAAGCAAACAAATAAACAGACACCAAAAGCCAGACCAGACTGACAGAATGACAGACGGGCACATTAATAAAGTCAATAGAGAGGAGACAATAGTTGAAAATGAACAAATGAATTGAAATTACTTAAACAAACTCATTAGCGTGTGAAAGTCAAAGGCCTGTCGGTCATATTGTAGTCCTGCGGCAGTCGCTAGACACTGTTGACACCAATTGTTCCAGCTCCTTCTCCATGTCATCGGAGTGATGCCCCCATGGGGGATCTGCGGACAAGCATTCATATTCCAGCAGATATAAACAGTGGTGGATAATAATTTTTGTGCTTACCCACTGGACAACGCCCCTGCCCTCCCAGGAAATAGTCCATTGAATGGTTGGGAGTATTTGGCCCACTCGTCTCGGTTTGCATGTAATTAAATTTCCCAACCCTAATGTGCTAAGCATAGTAATTTAGTTTCACATTCCCACACAGCGCCGCCACGGGGGGTGTCCCTCCGTCTGTCTGTTTGGCAGTCTGCCTGCCAGTCACGAGTTTAAATTGTCAGAAACTGTGACAGGTAGACACCTTTCCGCGTGGGGCAGGGTCGAAAGGTGGGACCCACGCAGCCCGCATATCTATAATTTTCATTAATTTTAATTGGCTTTGGGTGTGGGCGAGAACAGAGGTGTTCATTAAGCGAGCGAGCCAGCGAGTGAGTCCCCATAAATTATTCAAGTTTTTTATTGAATTTCAAACAGTGAGCATCGATGGGCAGTTGTTGAACTATGAACTAGAGAGTGTACCAAAAGGATAATTGCTTTAATAATTTCCCGACAGAGTAGTCTTCCCAGCAGCTGTCTAACTCCGATGGAAACTCACATCAGTTTTGGTTTTTGGCACTTGAAGTGCCATGTTTTTGGCAATAATTTTTCTACTGCTTGGTTGTGTTCCTGTTGCACTCGAAACGCGTAGAAATTCGAAATTTTTAAGTGTTTTAGCTGGAACTTCATTATGCTCTCCGAACTGTGTACGAGCCTGGTGAGGAGCGTCTCCTCGACGACGCTGCTGCGAAAGTCGAGCTGTTGTGGCGTGACGCTGCCAAAGTCGCGGCAGGCATGCACTCAGAAGAAAACGCCCACGCGGCAGGAGCACCTGTGTGCCATGAAGCGGGAGGAGTATGATGTGCTGGTGATTGGCGGCGGCTCTGTCGGTTGTGGCTGTGCGCTGGATGCCGCTTCTCGCGGCCTCAAGACAGCGCTGATAGACGCCGATGACTTTGCCAGTGGAGCCAGCTCAAAGTCGAGCAAACTAATTGACGGCAGCGGCTCGTATATCAATGATGCCATGCGGGACAAGAACTTTGAGCAGCTGCACATCATGAAGCAGGTGCTGAGCGAACGTGCCACCATGCTGAAGATTGCGCCGCATCTTAACCGTGTGCAGCCGATGCTGATGCCCATCTACAGTGTCCTGCGCTTGCCCTTCTATTGGTTGGGCTTCAAGGTAAGAGATGGAAACGTATTTAAGTCATAATCTATAATTGTTTCGACTACCCTTAGGCATATGACTGGCTGGCTGGAGCATCGAATGTGCGCAGCTCTCACTTTCTCTCGAAGGAGGAAACCCTCGATGAGTTCCCCCTGCTGCGGGCCAAGGGTCTGCGTGGTGGAATTGTGTACTACGATGGCCAGGTGGACGATGCCCGCATGTGTCTCGCCCTCGTCCTGTCAGCCGTCAATCTGGGCGCGAATGTGGCCAATCACATGGAGCTGGTCGAGCTGATACGCAAGGATGGCTGCTGCCGATGCGCCGGCGTTCGCGATGTGCTCACCGACGAGAAGTTCTACATTGAAGCGAAAGCAGTGATCAATGCCACAGGCGCCCAAACGGACACAATTCGCCAGCTGGATGATAGCCAAACAATGCCCATTTCCGTGCCCACACTCGGCACGACGGTGGCCCTGCCCAGCTACTTTGGTTCGCTGCAGTACGGCCTGCTCAGTCCCGCGGCCTCGAAGCATGATCCCACGCTGGTGATGGTGCCCTTCGAGAACCACGTATTGCTGGGCACTTCGGATGGCATTGTCGATGACATCAAGGAGAGTCCCATGCCGCAGGAGTACGATGTGGAGCTGCTGCTGGACACGGCTCGCGATCACATGGATGAATGCGTTCAGCTGGGACCGGGACATGTGCTCAGCGCCTGGACAGGCATGCGGCCAGCTGTGGTCTGCCCTACAGAGGCAAGGCCGCTGGTACGCAACTATCTGCTGGAGGTCAGCGAGTGCCGTCTGATCACCTTGGGCGGGGGACGTTGGAGCACGTACCGCGTGATGGCCGAGGAAGCGGTGGACACCGCCATCGAGGTGTGCGATCTGAACCGCGAACTGCCGCCCAGCAGCACCAAGGATCTGCTGCTGGATGGAGCCGAGGACTGGTGCAGCATGTTGCCCCTCAACTTTTGTCAGGCCTACAATGTGCCCATGGACGTGGCACAGCACATTTCCGACTCCTATGGCTCCAATGGCCGTACTCTCCTCTCGGAGGCCACGCGGGAGTCCAAGCGGCGCCTGCACTGCCACTTTCCCTACATCGAGGCGGAGGTCCATTATGCAGCGAAGCACGAGTACGCCTGCACCCTGGTGGACATCATATCGAGACGGCTGCGCGTGGCCTTTGTTGATGCGCTGGCTGCGCTCCAGATGCTGCCACGCATCCTGGCCATCATGTCCGAGCACCACAAATGGGAGAAGAAGGAACAAAGGAAGCAACTGGTGAGGGCACAGCACTTTCTGGTGCGTCAGATGGGTCTGGGATCGGTTGTGCGGTCCAAGCAAAAGACGAACACAAACACCAAGACAAGGGATTCAGCGAGCACCGACTGTGATGGACAACAGCCGAAGCTTGAGAGTACAGTTCTCTGCAAGGGACTTGCTCCCAAAATGGTGTTTTATCAGGGTCCAAAGCCAAACAAATCGGAAAAGTATCAGTTCGCAGTGAACTTCAACTACAAGTGCAAGTCACTGGCCAAGAAGCAGAGCACTGCCACGATCAAAGTTCCGATTTCAGAGCCATCGTTTGGGTTCCTGCCGCTGCCCGTGACAAGCGGCATTACCACAGGAGCAGCCAACTCTAGAGCCAAGCCCAAAGCGGGACTGCTGCCTATGACCTGGACCATGGGCAAACGCGATTTGGCCTCTTCTGTGTGGCGCAATAAATTTATGTGCTGAGCAGGCCCACTCTCCATCAAGAGATGACATATCCCCCAGTTCTAAAGGTCGTTCATATCGCTATCGGGAAAAATGCTTACGTGCCTTTAGTGATTATTTTGCAGTGAATTAAACAGATGCAGCTCAAAGATATTCAACTGGTTTGTTCTATTATTTCTAATAAGAATGCGAGGCATATTAATACCTTTTCCTAGGGAAAAGCCTAAGAAAGCAACTCTCGACATGCTCTTCTGACTTGTTATATGAGTTTTTGTATAAACTTTGGCCTGAAAATACTTTCTTTGCAGAGTAGAATGCCAATTCGTGTGGAATCCACGTGTGGACTACAAGCACTAACCAAATAGCACTAACCAAACCAAAAGGTTTCAATAAAGGCTGCATAAAATAATGATCAAAGATCCCTTCTTGCCACGGTTACAGAAGGAATATGTGCCGCTAGTCTAATCCCATTTGTTATAAATCAATTAAAAAATATATTTACAATTCATTTTCTATCGAGCATTTAAATTCTTGCGAAAAAATCTTAACCAACACTCTTTTATTGGTATTTCCTGTACTTTCACGTAGCAGCCCTTGACTTTGCGTGTTTGACAGCTTGATTTTCACCGAAACACTTTCACTTCATTCCATCGCAAAAGTCGAAGTGTAAGAAACAATTTTCGGAGCTCTAATCAAATTTAATTATTTTCCAAAACCGAAAAAAGTTGTTCTTCATTAAAATTTTGTGATTTATTGAAAAAGGGAAATGGTCGAGCAAATGGAAGCCACAACCAATAGCGGTGGCAATGTGCCCATCACTGGTAAGGCGCCCTCCGTGCCCTCGAAAGCCTCCAACGAGAGTGACATGAAGGATGACTCATTGAAGCCGAGCAAGCGGGACAAGTCGGGCAAGTTGCACAAGTCACGGGATGGTCACAAGTCGAGCAGCAAGGCAAAAAAGTTCAAAACATCGTCGCCATTGCGCTCGCAGTCAGAGTCTTCGATGTCCTCGATAAGCATGGGCTACAACGAGTCTGATCTCTCGAGCAGCTCCGACTCCGGCGACTCGTCGAGAAGCAACGAAAAATCGTTTGACCATCGCTGCTGCCATCGCCGCTTGCATCGTCGTGCACGCTACGGGAAGCCGTCGAGCCATCATCGACGCCGCTCAGAACATTCCACATACAGCAAGCGTCGTCACCCACAGCCCGTGCCGCCTCCGGAAACAGAAATTGAGAACTTTGATAAGTCTGACTCTGAAGACAAACCACGCCGCAAGAAGCGCGGCAATCGCAAGGAGTTCAAGGATGTGGCCTGCCAAACGAGTCCGCTGAAGAAGACATCGAAGCCAACCACCGCAGGTACCAGCTCCAGCTCCGGTTCCGGTTCAGGTGCCACTGTTAAGACAGCAAGTCATGCTTCCAATATAGAAGCTTCTGGTTCCAGTTCCAAAGTTGAACACAAGCAAGACCCGACTGGTTCCACTGGTGGTTCCAGTGCCAACTCAAAGGCAAAGAGCTCCAGCTCCAATGTAAAATCAATTGTTTTTTCTGTGAGCTCAAAGCCAATCGATCCGGTGAAGCTCAAGAGGGACTCCACCAAGACTGTCGAAGAAGAAACGAAGTACTCCAAGCCAAACGACTCTGGCCACATTCCGAAGCAGCCGATTGTTGTATCCAGTTCAACTGCCAAGCTCGCCGATACTTCTGGCTCCAAGACTCATACGATTCCAGCTGCGCCGCCAGCTATTCCGAAGCTTCCAGCGGCTAATTCCAATGACAAAGTCACTGCCAACGCAGGCGCCAGTCAGCTGCCACCTAAATCTGAGATAATGCAGCGCAGCATTCGCACTCGATCTCGCTCCAGCTCCCGCTCTCGTACCCGTTCCCGTTCACGCTCCCGTTCTGGCTCCCGTTCTCGTTCGCGTTCCCATTCCCATTCCCGTTTACGCTCCCGTTCGCGCTCCAAGTCTCGCAGTCCCAGGAACAATCGCCGACGTGTGACATCCCCGAATTCGGCAATCGACCGTGCAATGGGCAACTTCCGGACAGGGGCTCCGCCCATCTCCCACGTGAGGCTGCACATCAAGGGGCTGAGCCGCCAGGTGACCAAGGAGCATGTGACCGAGATCTTTGGCAGCTTTGGCCCGCTGACAGCAGTCGACTTTCCCGTTGAGCTCGAAGCGAATGACGGCACGGGTCGCGGATTTGCCTTCGTGGAGTATGCCAATCCCCAGGACTGTGCACGTGCCATCAAGAACATGGACGGGGGCCAGATCGATAGCAGAAGAATCGTCGTGTCCGCCTTTCGCCCGAACAAGGTGCGTGCCGCCTGGCGCCGCCGATACTCCCCCGTCCAAAGTGGCATACGCCAACGTTCCCGTTCCCGTTCTCACAACCGCAACAATTTTGAATCCCGTTTCCGCGATCGCTCTCGCAGCCAGTTCCGTGGCCAATATCGTGCCCACCAACCACGTGGCTATCATTATTAAGCAGAGGGACCGGCAGCACTCAACATTCACACAGAACAATCAATTGTAGTTCTTACACTCACATAAATATTTCTGCAGCTGCACTTATGACACACAAAAATCAGAGCAAGCGCAATCCCATTCCATTATAGCTCCAGCCATGTAATTTGCTTAAACAAATTGTAAAATACAAACACTTTGGGTTTGCAATTGAAGCGTGGGGAATTTTTCTGTGTTCGATTTTTCGCTTGTTTTTTGCTGGCGTTACTTTGACAATTTATGGCCTCCAGCCTCAGCCGTTTTGTTCTTAATAAATGAGGAGGGAGATGCCGGCCCATATTTTGAATTATTGTTATGGCAGCTGTGCAGAATCATTTCTCGTTTGCTGTGCCTCTGTTTTGAATATGCTTATCGTTCATACATTACTTTATTTATTGGCTGATTGGGGGTGGGCTGCTGCCTTCGATTTCTTATCGAGAGTGTGGGCAATGTGTGCGCCATATTCTGGCTAACGGCCGCTCGTTAGCAGCGCAAATGAGCTTTTTATGTCATCGAATTTTTAAAGTGTGTTCGATAAATGACTTTCAAATTAAAGCTGAATTTTGTGTAGATTTCTAATAAATTTCTGGGTATTTTTTAGTCACGATTCTCTTGTCCATTTCCGACTGCGCAATAGTCATGGAATCGCTGAGCGCGACTGTTCCCATGCCCATCTCTGCCTGCAGGAACCTGACCGTGCGCAGCATTTGGTCTTCCTGCACAGCTGTCGTCCAGTTTAGACGCCAGCCCATGATCTGCACCACTCGTGGCAGCATCTGCATGGCTGCGGCCACATCCACAAAGGCCACACGCATCCTGCGCGCCAGCACATCGACCGCGGTCAGGGCGTACTCGAAGAGCACCGCATAATGCACTTCGGCCTCGATGTGGGGCAGTTGATCGTGCAATCGCCCGTGGCAGCCGTCAAAGGCGCTGAGCAGGGTGAAGGCATTGGTGCCGTAGGATTCGGACAGATGGTGGGCCACATTGGCGGGCAGGTCGAAGCTTCGCATGAGCTCGAGGGGCAGCTCCTTGGTCCAGTGGCGTGCACCCTCAAGGGGCAGCCTGTGGGTGCAGCATTCGGACTGCGGATGGAGTCGCAGCATCTTGATGGCCCCATCGAGTGTGTCTTCGGCCATGGCACGGTAATTGGTCCAATCCCCGCTGGCAATGGTGAGCAATCTCCGCTCGCTGCCCAGCAGCAACGGACGCCTGGACCCTGGTCCTGCCACACTGGGCCACAAGCCCTTCCATGCACTCAGAACATGTTTCTTGCTCAGCAGCACATCCTGCCTGATCTTCTGCCTGAACTTGTCCAGCAGCTCATCCACTTCCGTTTGCATGGGCTCCAGTCCCAAGGCACCATCGCTGCTGCCCACCAACGTGTGACCCTGCCAGGGCATGGCGAACACCTCCCCCGGCCGAAGTCCGTGCACGGCGCAATTCCGGGCAAAGTAGCCGGGCAGCACAATGTGTGTCCCAGCTGTTGGCCGAGCTATCGCCACGGACTGCTTCGAGTCCATCAGCCGCACATAATCCGCGAAGGCCCCCGCTGCATTGATCACACAAGTCGCCCTTACGGCCAGCTGCTGTTGGCTGAGTAAATCCTTGGCGATGACCAGCCGAATGCCAGTCAGATCCGGAGGTGAGAGCTGCTGCACCTGGACATAGTTGGCCACACTGGCACCCTGTCGAGCTGCTGTCAGTGCCAGCGCGAGGCAGAGTCTGGCATCGTCCATCTGCAGCTCGTAGCTGACCAGCGAACCCTTCAGATTGTCCATCCTGAGCATGGGACAGGCGAAATGTGTTTGCTTGGCGCTGAGAAAGTGCGAGGCCTTTAGCTTTGAGCCACCAGCGAGAAGATCGTAAAGCTTCAGCAGGAGCCAGTGCCTGGGCAGGTCCCCATATTCCTCGATTGGCATTACCATCGCCACTGGCTTCACCAGATGCGGAGCTGTTTTCAGGAACAGCGCCCTCTCCTGGAAGTCGTCGTACATGCGGAGCAGCTGCTTGGTGTCGCGAGCTCTGAGTGCCGACTGCAGGCTGCGGAGGCCGCCGTGGAGGAGCTTGCTGGACTTTGAGCTGGAGCCGCTGCCAAAGTCCGAGACCTCCAAGAGGGCGGTCTTCAGGCCACGCGAGGCGGCATCCAGGGCACAGCCACAACCCGTGGCACCACCGCCAATCACCAGCACATCGAAGATGTTGTCGCTGAGTGCCTTCAGCTGTTCTGTTCGGGGAGGGAGGCGCAGATCCGCCTGGCCTTGGCTATGGCTACGGGAACAGTTGCAGGAACCGCTCACACAGTTACTACGAGATAAACCACAATACAATTTAACAAACATTTTTTTTTTGCCTTTTTTACATACACAATTTTGAGCTAACAATAAAACAATACAATAATTATATTTTAATCTTCCATTAAGACATCTGAGGCAAAGCTTCAGTCAGCCAGCATTCAGCATAGAATTCACATCAGCCTCTTCCTCATTTGCCTTCTGGTTGAAAAGAACTTTCACCGAGTCACGCGCGGAATTTCCCTTCCACCATAAATAGTCGCTTTAAACGAGTCTAACGCAGAAGAACACTTTCACTTGGGCTGCACATTTTTATGCTGATTAGTTTCGTTAACAATTTGCAGCACGCGAAAGTATTTCGGCAATTTCAAACTTGAAACATAAATCGCAATGCACGAGCCCAGCCCTTGGGCATGCCAGTGTTGCAACAGCAGCGACGTTCAACTATTTTAATAAGTTTTCGGCCAGCAGTCTGAGGAGCTAATATGGAAAAATGCATGTGGCGCACACGCGAGCTCATAATAATAAGAATTCCGGGCAGGAAGGAAGTGGGACTGGCGAGAGGACTGCGGACTCCTTTTTCCTAGAGCAGTCAAGGACACTTTAAACCAAATTATAACACTTTAAAAACCGCTAGAAAATGAAGAAAATTCCGCAACAGCAAAAAATCTGCGACGGAAGCCTTGCCATAAAATGGTGCAAATAGTGGAAAGCGACAAACGGAAATAAGAGGAAAATAGTATGCCATAAAATATGTTTTACTGCTTTTGGGACTGTACGCGGAAACCCACTAAAGGAATGAAGGAATGAAAGATACGCATATGCAATGCCAAAGTTTTTTGTTCAGAAATGGCAGAGAAACAAGAGTATAGTAATTAAATTCAATAAATATTAAACACATTTTCTCACATAATTGTATTTGTTACTAAAACCTTTGACATACATTTAGCATTGAGTTGTATGTTTGTTTGTTCAATGCAGTCAAGGGTATTGATGCTTGCACATAGGAATGGTCCAACCATAAAACATTATATGGCAAAACGCAAACTATATACAGTTTTCATATTTGCAGTAGTAATTTCTTGCCATACCATGCATAAAATCATAATATATCCAAGCAGACATACAAAAACATTTATCTACAGCAACACATAGCCTCAGCATCAGCGGCAGCCCTGATTCAAGGGGAAAGCGCATGGCAGTCGCTGTGGGAATGGCACTCAGCCGCAAAACATTGGACCAAACGATAAGTGACAAACATGGTAAGGCAAACAAATGTATATTTTATACATATGCCGGGGAAAGGAGCGTGGGGCCGGGCCGGGCCGGGGCCAGAGATGCACAACTGTCAGATAAGTGTGGAGAGCATTTTGCAGAGAGAGCATCTTTTGCCCGCAGGTGACATGTTAAACGTCTTGTAAGCATTGCATTTCCTTGCCCATAAAATAGACGAAAGAAATAAGAAAATTGTGCTTCTGGCGAGCAGCACGAGAGAGAGAGAGCAAGGCAAATTTACTGTAAGATATATATAAACATAAGAAATAACTGAACAACCATGACAAGGCAGGGGCCAACCATCTTTTATCTGCAGTGCATTCATTTTTGTTGGCAGCGACTTCAAAAGGGTTGAGTTGTTGGCTTTTGCTTAAAGCATATTTGATTATGTCACAAAATATCCTCAAGGGTACTACGCTCTTGTCTGCTCTGCTCTGCTCCTTCTCTGTGTTTGCTTAGCCAAAGATAAATTTAACAAATATGCAAATAGGACAAGCCCTTCCTTGCACCACCTTTCTTTTCTGTCTTGTATACACAGCAAAATGGGAAATTGTTTTTCATAAATTTTTCTAATATGCACAAATTCCCCTCAATTCCTGCTCAATGTCGAAAGTACTCGTGGAAGTGGGCCATGAACGTACGGCACAGAAATAGGCTCAGGAAACAACAAAGTCAATCATTTTCTCGTTCGAAATTGCTTTTAATGGCAAAAGTAAACACACATTTTTCGGAATGGAGCAGGAATATATCTTGATATTTATTGAATGAAATTGGTTGGCGTATACGAGAAATAATGGAAATAGATTTCAAAGTCTTAAGTGCACTCCACGTGTCAGGAAATAGAGAAATTGAGGCATTTAAATATTCGTTTCCTACAAAATTCTGCCTATAAATTATTGAGGTGCAAGTTGTACGAATTTGAGTGCTAATAAAAACAAGAAAATATTTGAACTGCTTTGATAGTTTCTTGAACAATTACAGGCACACATTTTGGTTTTACTTCTCATTAGTTTTTCAAAAATAAATCTCAAAACAATACTAATTCGATTAAATTTAAAGGCTAAATTATACCAAATAACTTTGCGACTTTTGTGCCTTTGTTGGTTTTCCCCCACAAAAGAAAGGATTTCGTTTGACATAATACTTTGCACCGCCCAAACCACAAATCAATCAATCAATTGGGAAGCCCATTAAAAGCGGCTCATTAAATTATCAAAGCACTTACCCTTTGAGGGAATCTCGGCGAGAGTGGGCGTGGCTGTCATCAGCATGGTAACAGCGGCATTTATAATCAGCAGGGTGGCCAGGTGCCGGACACGGACTCCGGCACTGGCACTGGCACTGGCATCGGCACTGACCTGTGGGCGTAGGCATTGGCGGAGGCGTTTGCGGGGGCGTGGTGGCCTGTGTGGCTCTGGCATGGCTTGGCTCTCGATATCCTTTACCTTGGTTTTCCTTCTGCAATGGGCAAGGGCAAAAATGTTCAACACTCACGTTGAGTTGCCAAAATGTACGAGCACCGCCACCGCACCACTCGGGTGGAAGTGTGGGTGTGGATTAGGCGGCAAGGGGCAGGCAACGGCACGGCGCACACTGGCTGGTAACATTTTCACCTTTAATCACTTAAACGGCGCGTAATCAACATCAACAACAACAACAACAACGGCAATGGCAGCAACAAAAACCAAACAGGTTGCAATCAACACCGACATCGTCGACAGGTTTGAAATGGAGCGTCATGACTAGGACGAGGATGGTGTATAAGTGTAATGTGGAGCAGTCCTTGGGTTTTTCCATAAATGTTGTCCCTCTTTTTTTTTTGTTTACGATCACCGCCTGATCGCTAACCACATGTGGTTATCGCACTACAATATCGATAGCAGCACTTATCGCATCGAACTATTGTGAACGAGTATCGGCTAAGAGAGAATATCGTGCTAGGGTATCAATTGGAGTACTTTCGTACAGCAGGGAATTACGCTACAGTAACGATGATGATGATGAGGATAAGTGTAAGGCTGATGCCAGGGGTTGGCTACGATGATGACGTGCGGGTTTGCCAGCACTTAACATGGCAGTCTAACCCCTCGGCCCCAGGAGCAGAGCCCCAATCCGGATGCGGATGCGTGGCAAGACTCAAAGTTGTTGTTTTTGCTGTTCCATTTGTTGTTGTTGTACTTCCTGTTTAGAGGAGCCTCACTCTTCTCGTTCATAGTTTGGCATTGACTTTAGCTCTTCTGACTTTTGACTTCTGATTTTCTAACTCTATGCCGGCATTTGTTTGCACGATGCTGTGAATTTTTCCGCTTGGCTCGTGGGCCGCCCCCCCCGCACCGACACGCGCGTGGAAGTTAATTTTTGAGGGCCTTAATTTGAAGCGTTTGAGACTCAAATTTGTTGAGTGGGGAACGTCAGATGGAATGTTGTCAGACAGCCATCAGACGGTAATTTGATTTGTCGACGGAAGTGAGGACTAAAATCTTAACATTAATTTAACAAAAGCCTTTAAGTTGTTCTGTCCGATGGTTGGGGGAGATTGGCAAAGTTTTGGACCATTTGGGTTTGTAGTTGAAGGGATATTCTGTGGGATTTCAATTAAAACTAAGAGTTCAAATGACACAAGAAAAAGGAATAGTTGAAATTTTACTTCCGGAACAGGAAATTCTTTGAAATTAAATAATGAGTTAGAAGAGATAGAAATTTAGTTTTATTGCCTTAAATTTGAATTAAAAAAACTCAACGAACATTTGTGCAAATATTTTACAAACTTCTACAACTATTTTCAGGGTCTCTCCATCCCATGCCATTTTGGTGACTGCCTTGAGGCAAAGCTTGATTCTCGTTTCGGCCTCAATTTGCAATGTCGAGCTGTCAACGCTGTGCTTGCCGGCAAATCAAGTCTGACAAATGAAATGATTACACAAAGTAAACAGCAAACAGGTAACACACAAACCACCTGTCAGAAAGTTTTGTGCAAAAGGCAAACTCACCGCCAACCCATCCCTTGCCATGTTCTCCCATCACCCAGCGTTGAAAGCTGGGGGGGACTGACGGACAGTGCACAGAACATGACAGCATTTTACAAGCGGAAAGCCAGAAAGGAATATTATTGACAGCAGCAAGAACAACAACTGCGAGTACTGCTGGTAAGACAAACAAAACAGACGAACCCCGAGCGGCGCAGGGCGCAGGGCGCACCAAAAATGCAATGGCGATGCCAGCAAAATGGCAATGGCAACACTTCCGTTTCCGCTTCCGACGCTGCGGGCGACTTTCTCGCACAGTTGGCAAAACGTTGAGCAAACTCAAAAGCAAAAGCAACAGCAGGACGACAGGATGGCATCGAAACATAACAAAGCTTGTTAGTGTTGCACCCCATAGCGCGCAGCAAGAGCAGCAACAGCGGTGCCTCCAAACTTGTACCCCAAACCCTTGCCCAAAAGGGATATCTGTGGATATCCACAGAGTGGGCGGACCTGCCTGTGGGCTAGGTGGAACAATGGCGACGAAACGTACAAAAATTTTAAACGCTTTTAATATTAAAGCGTCCGGTATAGAGACATAAAAGGCTGGTACTGGCACTGGCACTGGTAGAGCCCCTAACGGCAAACCAGCAATATGCAACAAGGCGTGCAACAAAAACATCGGCACCAGCACCACCAGCAGCAGCTCGAGCAACAGCAAGGCATAACATTGCCGTTGGCATGCGGGGAATGCAAAAAAGAGGCGACTGCATGAAAATGCCACACTCAAAAAAGTGCTAAGGAACGAAGAATGAAGTCTGAAATATGCCAAAAGAGGACTTGCCTATACCCTGTACTGACATAATTTAAAGCAAATTTTAGCGACTGAAATATACGTACAAACAAATAATTTGGAGAGCGAAAATGAAAACAATAAATTGGTTTTTAAATTTAATAAAACTAAAAACTCTTATTAAATAATGCATTTGTTTTCATAAAGAATGAATTGAAAATGTTATGCCAGACCAACTCAAGGCCATTTGAAGCTATTAAATGTTAAACCAATTAAATTGATAACCAATTTGGCAATTATTTTAATATGGTTGGTGTCATATTTATTGCACCAAAGGGCGTGAGTTCCCGAGCAAACCAAGCAACCAACGATACCCTCTATACAGTGGCCAGATTTCTATAGAAGGCAAATCAACCAACCGAGCACCTCGCGGCCAGGACCTGAGCGTCTCTACCCCAAGCCCATCTACCCTGCCATTTATCCTGCCCTAGACCCGACCTCGACGGTAGTGCATTTTTTGTGCAGTTCTTAGACTCTGTGGCCAGTTGGCCTCTTCGTGACGAAAATGTTTCGCTTAACTGGATTTTCAAATATTTATTGCAACAAATTATTTTGCTGGTTACACCGCGGCCAGAGAGCCACAGAGCCAGGGCACTTCGTTTGTGTCTCAGCATTCCCTGCCGTTGCCCTGCTCTGCTCCCCCCTTTGATCCTGCTCCTGCTGTTGCTGCTGCTCGAAAGCGGTTTTTATGGCCATTTAGTTTGTTTTATTCCAGTGAAAGGATTTGGTGTTGAGATTTTTGCGGTTTTTTTGCACAATTGCAGACAAATTAGGGTATTACAGCTGTATACAATTTATTTCAAGCGTAAAAACCTATAAATTATGGTCGAATTGCTTTGTTGTGGCAAGTGCAGCGAATTTTCAAATGCCAAAACAAAATGTGTAGTTTTTATTGTCTGAGGATCATTACAGTTTCAGAACTTCAGCAACTGCAATTGCAGTTCAAGTCTTTTCAGTTTAGCAAACAATTTTGATTTAATAATTCGTTTGAAAATGTTACATTTTGAAGTACAAACTTTGTATCTAAATATCGTATTATCTTATCTTCAATTATTCAGGGATATTTCAATGTGGGGAATATATTTTTTGCAAGGATTTAGTGACCCTCAAAATGTCCGCTTAATTTTCCAGGCTATTCTATACCCTTCTCAAAGATTTATTTTATTCATCCTATATTCAAATTCGAATTAATATGCCTTGGAAATATCTCTTCTGTATCAAGATCTCTCTCATAAAAATGCATTGCAGACTTAATGGCACATTCGAACTTGGGATATCACAAAATATTTATCCGCTTAATTGAAGTGATCGTAAAAATTGGAAAGTTTAAGAGACCTACTTGGGGGACTACCCTTTGCACTTGCTGAATGTGGAAACCCTTTAGGCATGCCCACATCTATTCAGTAGACAATGAAAAATGCGCCAACTAAATATGTTTCACGATTACAAGACATACCGACCCTCTTTGGCGATCTTCTTCTGCTAAAACTGTTTCCCAAGCCAACTTTAAATCACGGCGAACTCCTCAACAAAGCACCAACAAATGTCACATATGTATGCGGTCAGAGAGAGGTGAACTAAATGTTTGCAGCCAGGGTGAGATTGTGTGTTGCAACATAACAAGCAATTTGGTAATTACATCAAATTAAGCACGCAAATGCAAAAGTAACGGCGGAACCGAAGTTGCCACACGACAGATGCACACAGAAAACTTTCACTCGCTCAGAACTTTGGCTGCCAGAAGCCGGCAAATGACAGCGACGGGTAGGACGACAAACGACAACGACAAGGACGAGAACGACAGCGGCACCGGCAGTGGCAGCGCACCGAACCACATTTCGTGTGGGAGGGAGTAAGCGTGGGTGAAATTCGCGCGGATCGCAAGTCGCTAAAACGCAAATAGCACGGCAAATAGTTTTGTTCCGCGTTATTCCGGCTCTCGTAGTGCGTCCGTTCACTTGGAAACCCGATGCACGAGTGAACTGGCGGCCGACTTCATTGGTGGAAAAGTATTTCACACGGCCCGAGCGGCTCCTTCCCTTCGTTTCGACGCTCGTTTTGGCATTCGGTTTTTCGAAATTCGAAACCTTTTCGTTCGCTGGCAGAGAGAATGAATTCCAGGCCACCCACTGGAAGGCCAGCAGGGGAAAGGTTCACTCTGCTGTGCGTCTCTCTTTGTGGAGTTTATGCTTTGATGTTCTGTGAGGAAAATCAAAAGAATTGAACTAGCAAGTACTTGGTTGAGATGTAGCTTTGAATTTGCCAATATTATAATTTCGGATATGGTAAATGAGTAATTAAAAATATGGGAAATCAAGAAACAATAAATTTGGCACAATTTTCCACACAAGAAACAGCCACAACAACTACCGAGCAGTGGAACACCAGTCCAACATCCATGGTCCCACAAACCCAAACTATACTTCTACTCAACTCTTAGCTGTGTGAATGAGCAGTCCACAAGCAAATTAACACGCATATTCCAAAAAGAACAACTGCATAAATTGGCTTATCTGCTAAACACAGACAGTAAAGCTGTGTGCCCCTGCTGCTCCTGCCCCTGCTCTAAGCGAATGTCAAAAGCAGCTAACCAGCAACTGAAAACTGGCAACAACCGACTGCTTACCACAATAAAAATAAAAATATAAAAATATTCCACATACGCAGAGTTGCCGTTGCCGTTGCCGTTTGCCGTTGCCTGCTGGCATCATTTAGATAAATATAACTCGGAAACTTATAACCAAGCCATCGGACCGTCTGACCAGAGAAACCGAACCACACCGAACCACACAGCAGCAGCGGCAGCAGCAGCAACACAAAGAGTCCCAGGCAAGCAGTTTTCGCCAACAACAGCAAAAAAGAATAAGGCAAACAAAATAAAATAAACTAATATGGCATTGTTCACGAGCTGTGCAAAATCTTCAAGTGGTTGGGCGGGAATTGAGTTAAAGCCAGCTCCTCGCTGGCTGCTGCTGAAGCTTGACCAACAGTTTAATCTGAAACTGGCAACAATTCGGGGCTGCTCGCTGCCCGGCATCATTATTCACCAGAACAGGGACCAAGACTGAAGTGGGTCGTGTGGGGAATATGATGGCAAACAAAAAAAAAGGGTGGCCGAGCACGAGGACGTGGACGAGGACGAGGACTGTGCTGACCTGCAAAGTTGACAAACGGCGCATCACTCAACGGCATCGCCAACTGTTTCCGGAACGACATATACTCCTGTGTGTGTTCCGTTTACATATGTGAGTGTGTGTGTGTCTCTTTCAGATCCTTTTCAAAGCGCATTAAAGCGAATTTAAAAACTTTTAACTCAAAGTGGGTCATTCATAAGTTTATCTCCATGTTCGAGCATTCCTTAAATGCAAACAAACTCTTTGAGCTGTGAGCCTCTTTTGGACAGCAGCCAACAGAGAAAAACGTGGAAAAAAAGGAATAAAGATTCATTGTAAAAATAAAGAAATAATTCAGAGAATGCAAATCAGTTCGGTAACATTTTGGGAGCTTTAATAATCTTTGAAATAATCCCAAGTTGAATGCTTTATCTTTAATCTGTAATGAGCAAATACTAAGGCAAAATATTAAGCTTGCTTTGGACAGCTCGAGACTTAGCTCCGAGTGTAAGCAAATCGCTTTGGATTGCAATCCTTTTGCCTGGTGCTGCTGCTCCTCCTACAGCCATTGACACCTCCTTGGGGATCAGCATTTAGTCGAAATCCGAAGAGCACTTGCTGCTGCTGCTCTCTGCTGATGTCATGCTGGAAACGACACCCAGAAGTGCGGGCATTAAATGAAAGTTTTCTCCATTTTCCATTCTTTCCACCCGTTGCAATTGGTGTAAATTGCAAGAGCATAAAAAGCAGACGAAAAAAGCATCACTGGCTCAGTGACTGCCTTTTTGGGACCAGACCATCTCAGTGGCAATTGATTCCTCCGGGCAACGGCTTGGGCGTGGCATATGCCCCTACTTAAATCGCATTAGCAACAAGCAGCCGGAGGCAACACACACACAAAAACAACAGCAAAACTGATTGCACTGAGAGCAGAGAGTGTGGAGAGTGTAGAGGATAGCTGGAAGAGAGCTGCCTAAATTGCTGCCAAAAATTGAAGTGTTCTGCAAATATATGCACAAAAGACAAAAACGAATTCAGAGATTGTTGTTGGCGTTTGTTAGGGCAAAATCATCATTCTGTGTGGCCACGAACAATGCTCTCATATTTCTGCCAAAGTGAAATCCCCAACTCCAAGGAATCCCTGAGACCCATTACCGTATTTATCCCGAATGCTCTGTGGCTCTTTACGGCCAGTGGCTCTACATGGCCAACATGCATTTCGTACTGCATTCAAAGTCGATGCATTGCCAGAAAGCCAGTGGAAGCCCAATCAGAACAATAGTGCCTGGTCGCCCATTCCCATTGCTTTACCCATCGGTTGTAGTCCTTACCCTTAGCCCTTTGTTCATTTCTTACGGCCCAATTAAGCAGATTTCCCCCCTTTAAGTGGCTTTAGCTACCATAGACCAATGCAGGGCCAAAAGAAATATTTGTTCTCCCGAATTGATGTTCTTTTGCAGCAGAACTGTCCAACTCGAATAAATTCCTCGTGTGTGAACGTTAATCAAATTAATGTGTACTTAATAAATGCCATTAAATTTTTATTACATTCTCAACCGCAAAACCAGAATCGAAATTGGAATTGCTGTGCCACAGGCGCAGGTACATAAATTGGTTAAATCGTTTAGGCGCTTTCAGAGAGTTCAGTTCGAGTGATATACGAGTCAGCTGGTGGTCCAACGAGTGGATAAACGATTCGGTCTCGCCTAATTTGTTCGACACCCAAGTCGAATAAATTGTTTCTGAGTAAAACTGGCAAGTAGGAGATTCATCGTTGGAGTAGAGCTTCAGAGCTGCCATCGGTTGTTTATAATTTTAATTGAAATAACTTCAAAAACTATGCCCTGACACCCTCTGCTAATCAAAGCTCAACGTCCACTCAATTCGCAACTGCAGGAAAACAACTACCTAATAGGCAAACAGACTCAATGGCTTTGCCATGACCAGACACTGGTCCAGTCTGGTCGAGTTATGGCCGCCATTTCCGTTTGGTTTTCACAACTCAACGCGCCGACATCCGCCCACCACCGTGGGATCTGGGAGCCATTTCGATGCTGGCACAGCCTCCAGTGTGTTTCAATTTTATCGCTACCAATTTACTGCCGCTTTGTTTTTTTTTTTTTGCCATGGTTTTAGATTCCTTTTGCGGCTATCCTTTGCACTTTTTTGTTGCCATGCCGCAGCAGGATTCTTGGAGCATTTTCCATTGCGCTGACCTCCGCTCTGGCGGCTGCCCGTGATTTACGTAGCGCTTGATTAGTGTTGGGTTATCGGCTCAGATATCCACTACGCTCCCACATCTCAGATGATAATCTGTAGCAAATACTCGTACTGCATACGAGAGGCATAACAGGAAATGCCAAACACTTGGCCGACGGCAAAAACCAGTCTACTCCAAGGCGGATGCAACATGCCACATGCACATGCGATATTGAGTGGCTCTGTGTGCTGTGTTGAGTACTGTGTTATCACTGCCATTGTCAATGATAATAGCAACAACAGCAACAATAACAGTTGCAGAACTGCCACTACAAATAATATCAAAACTTTGTAGGCACGCCAACATTTTGTGAGGCAACGGCAATGTCTGTGCTGCAAGTCCTTCCATGATCAGGGCCATTGTTTACTCGAGGCCGTACAGATACAGTGGAACAGCCACAGAGTTGTGTATGCACAATGCAAAACCCTTTCAGTAGGAACATTGTGTAGATGCTGCATTAAAATTATAAATTATAAACTAAAAACCATAAATTACTCCCATAGCTAATCATTTGAGCCCACTGTAGGCAGCTCGTCTGTACGTTCAAGTGCAACAAATGCATAAATTAAACTACAATGTTGAGAGTCAAGTTTGGCTCCAGCACGGCAGTGGGAGTGGGGAGTGCGTATCTGGGTGTGAGGGTGTGCGGGTGTGCGAGCGTGCATGTGCTCCATTATCGATACCCAAAGACATTATCAGCACACATGCACCGGGGAGGCAGGACATGGCATGGCAGGGGGGAGTGGGCGTGGGCATGCATAAAACATGTTTTGGTCGGTTGGCAGCAAATTGAATCAATAATATCCAATCAGGGGTTAACAATGCGAATTGATTTCTAGCAGCCATGCAAGCGAGGCGCCAACCAGTCAGCCAGTCAACCCCACTCCTGCTCCCTGCTCCATGCTCCCTGCTCCTGATTCTGCTCCTGCAGGAAGAGACCGGCGCCTGCACATATGCAAACATGACAGCCCAAGAAGATAAGACCAACAAACAGCAGTGCCAGCAGCTTGGACCTGGGCTGGCTCATGTAAATATTAATTAAGTTTTGGCTTTTGTTGCATGCGACTTTGGTTTTTGCAGCAAACCTTGCGGCCAGCACATGGCCCTGGCCAGCACCTGGCTCCTGGGCTGCTGGCTCCCAGGTGCCTGCATTTATCATTGTATTAGCTGCAGAATTAGTTGGTTAGTTAGTCGAACACTCGGCGTCCTTTGTTTCGATGTCTTTGCCTAATCAACTTGGCAGCACATGCTCCTGTGGCTCACCCTGGGCACTTAATTAGCTCACAAAGAACTCCGACTCCAACTCGATTTGACACTAAATTGCTGTATATTCTGTGGAGCTGTTGAATGGCAGCTGAAGCCAACTAAAAGTAGCCATAAATTCCCATCTGATCTGATATCTTTTTCAATTGTATCCTGAAATTGCACTGCCACTAAAATTTATCTCAGTTGGCAAATTAAATTTTGTACAATTTGTAAAACTTTCCCCCAAATGGTGTCGCCAACTGCCGCGAACTGAGCGCGAGAGCCAAACCGAAAACTTTTAGAATTTCCATTACAAGTTTTGCTTGATTCGATGGTGCACCATGGTGCCAGGCACAGACAGCCACAGCGTAACACGGATACCCACCCGCCAATGCGACCTCAATCCAGGCTTATGCGTTTATTTAATTTCGCTTGAACATTACGCATACGCCAGAGTGTTCAGTGTTCAGTGAGTGCTCGTCTAATTGCCGCGTAATTGTCGGGAAGAACGAGTGTCAATTGAGCAGCACTTCAAACGGAGAGAACATATCCTCTGAGGTCTCCTCCACGCTTTCAACGAATATCATGGTAATGGCCAGCATGGGGCGCAGGTTGTCCGGCATGTGGTAGTTGTCGACGCCGAAGATGCACAGGCAGGGCCTTCCCGTGGCTAGGGGCTTGATCAGTCTGATCACAAATTGTGACATTTGATTATGATTGCCGTTGCGACTCTCCAAGGTGGCCATGGCGGCGGGCCAGCGCTGCTCGTGGCACTGCTCCACCATCACATTGAGCAAGTGCATGGGACAGCCGCTGGCCCGCAGACTGTCCCTGACCATCAGGTGCATGTGGTTGTCTGGCGTGGAGACGACACTGCCCCAGTTGCTTACCCGCGCCTGCGGCAGTCTGGCGCTCCAGTGGGACAGCGCATAGTGGTCGAGTTGGTCCCCGACGCTGCCCATCACGGGACTGGTGGAGCGCATTGCTGCTATGTAGAACTGCAGCAGCTCCAGCTCGCGGCACTGGGCTCCGATGCGCTGCTCGTGACTCAACTGGGTGTCCTTGAGCACGGCTAGCTCCTTCGCCTGGCTCTGCACCAGATTCCGCAGCTCTTGGATGCAGCTGTGATCGGCCAGCTCGTCCTTGGGCACCTTCATCAAGCAGCTCTTGCACTCGACTATGACCTTGGGATTGTACTGGCAGGTGTCCACGTGGGCGCGATACTCGGCCAGCGACATCTCCGACGGACATTCGTGCACCGAGTAGGGGCACTTGATCTTCAGGCGCCCTAGCATGTTCCGCATGAGGCGCGAAGCCGGCGCCAGGTGGCTCGGCAACAGCTCCGAACGGTCCACGGGGCACAGCGTCTTCTGCTTCATCCACTGCTCAATGCAGTCCTTGCAGAAGGCGTGCTCACAGTGCAGCGACTGCAAAGGCTCCTCCAGCACATCCGTACAAATCGGACAGATGAGCTCCTCGTCGACATTGCCGATAATGTAGTTAATATCAAAGCCCATATTTGAGTATTTTTGTTAGTCGACTTGAAGAATATGAGGTACAAAAAATAAATAATTCATCGAGGTTTCCAAACTGTAATTTTTACGTTACCCAAAAAGTCAACACTAATATTTTGTTGTGCGTTTTTTAAAAAGAGAACAACAAACTCTCCAAAGGGTTGCTTTGCGAATGAGTCAAGTCGTTTGACTTGAACTTCGATTTACTTTGAGCTAAAGATCTGTTTACATTTTCCCTGCCCTGCAAAAACAAACAGTAAACAGAAGGGCTATCCATTCATTTCCATAACTAAAGTTTGGGGGAGAGTTTCTTGAGTTGCTTTTGCATATTTACGGTGCAGTTGTAACTGCTGCGGAAGTATGCAAATTGGAAAACTTATGGCACAACAGCCCAGAAACGAGTGCCAAGTACAATTTTATTTATAGAGTGAAACCTTAACAAATTAACTGCAAATGCAGAGACATGGTCAAACAAATAAACTCTCCATCTTTAGCACAGCAGATTCCGAGCAAACACTGGACACACTGCACACACCAACAGGCATGATTGTGACAACATATTGCCATGTCAAAATATTTACATTATATCAACTACTATCGTGTATGTGTAGCCTTTATATAAATATGTAGATAGAAAGGGGCAGGCCGCTGTGGCAGTGGCAGGCAATGGGGTGACTGGAAATTCGGTTTTAAATTTCATATGGCTTCTGTGCTTCCGTTTTGTATATTAAATTTCATGTTTTTCTTTGCACTGGCATCTTCCTATTGTCTGCATTCATTTTGCACTTGTGTGACAACTGGCTCTAGATCTCTCTCTCTAACTCTAACTCTCCTCCTCTTATTTCTGTCAAATTCTGTCTTCTTTGAATTGCAATTTTAGCTGTGTACATCGAGTACTACTGCCGACTGCTTATCGCCAAATGCAGCTGTCAGAGTCGGAACGAAATGGCCCAACACAAAATATAAGAAAGTTATTTGAACTTTGGTAAATATTTCAGGACTGTGCAGAATGTCATAAATATATTGCACAAGTTGACGCTGTGTCGCATAAATCAACATTTGTGTCTTATCGGGCTACCAATTAATTTTCATCACCTTCACAACAGCCAAAAAATATCTGAGTTTCGTTTATGAGACCACAAAGAAATATCAATAATAATTCCTAACCATTCCACCCATGAGTGAGAAATTTATCAACAATTTTCATTTGACTGGATTTCCATATAGCCACTGAAGCAGCCTAATTTAATAAGTTAACCAGAGACAGCACAAAATATTCTCGCCTTTTCAACAACAACAACAACAACAACAACAATATTTTTCCAATTGAACTAACGAATATTTAATGAAAATCAACACTTCCGCTTTGCTGAGCGCAGATAAACACCCACACACTCACCTAATAACCGTAGCATCATCATATTACATAACGAGCTACAAATGCTCACCACAGCATGTACGCAAATACATATTTATACACGCATTTACATATATTTCTCAACGTAGCAGAAATCGTACGTGCCACATTCGCCTCAAGTTGCTAGAGCCAGAGCCAGGGCTACACGGATTGTCCACCCAAGTATGCGCTTGACAACTGTTTTTGGCTTGTCGAAAGTCTCGTAGTTGAGTATTTCAATTCACCTTTTCTTGCTCTAGTTGTTGCAAATAAAATGTAAAGTAATCCAATTAAAAATAATCAATAAAGTAACTGGAAAAACATTTCAGCGCTGGATCTTTGAGGGTATGAAAAGGAGGCATGAGGATCTGTTAGATGGGACTACTAAGTACACAAAATATTATAGAGTATAATAAATTACACTCTGAGTTATTATATTTTTATTGATTAATTATTTATTTATTTTGTTTGCTTTAAAAATAATCAATAAAGTAACTGGAAAAACATTTCAGCGCTGGATCTTTGAGGGTATGAAAAGGAGGCATGAGGATCTGTTAGATGGGACTACTAAGTACACAAAATATTATAGAGTATAATAAATTACACTCTGAGTTATTATATTTTTATTTATTAATTATTTATTTATTTTGTTTGCTTTAACTACAAAATTTCTGCCTGAACATTGTCCATGCTTTGTTTCGATTTCTTCTACATATGTTGTAATACATGAACTTGGGTTTAATTTCTTTGCTGGAAATAATACAATGTACGGGAATGGCTCTTTTATCTTTGTGTCAACTGGTTGTACAGACATAACGTTGCCATTTCCTAGAGCAACAAGCAAATTGTCGTCCGTGCTGCGTGCTCCGTGCCACCCGCAAAAAAGATACAACAAAAAAAAAATTACCATGAATTACTGTAATTCCACTTGCGACTGCGACTGGAATGCCTGGACCTAAGCCATGGTCATTACATGGAAATGGGACATGTCACTGGACATCGTCACAGGGAGAGAGCCGGACCAGGCCGGGACAGGACAGAACAGGACGTGTGTTCAGGAGTTTGGTCCGATCTCTGGCCAAGCGGTCACGTTCGCACTGTATGACCGGAACGTGCAATTTTTCTGTGGCACATGGGGCAAGGGAAGGCTAGCAATAAGCACAAGTTGTATGCAATAAAATTAGCCCACTCTCACATACACACACACACACACACACACACACGCACTCAGGCAGGACACGCAGGATGCTTCAGTTGCTGATAAGCTAATTTTATTTGGATGTTATTGCATAAAGTCATGTGAGCGCCGGAAATGAGTTGAACTAACGGGAAAGAGTCTACGTGACACTCAGTTGAGGATTTTAATAAGATAATTGGCTTGTTTACAAATTGATGAATTTAAAGCTGCTGGTAAAGGTCGGTGGGGATTGACCATCAAAAATTGAACAATAATTTGAGCTTTCAGGTGAAGATTCCAGCAAATGTTTTTATATTTTTTGAAGTGACCTGCTGACCCGGCTAACCTCAGGCACTTGCCATCACCATCTCCAGCGCCCCATCATCATCGCAGCCATTTGTGGCTGGGCCCCCCCCAGAGCCACACACAAATTAGGCAGAAAATCCAAAATTCTGCTGTGACTTGGCGACTGGCTTTATTGTCCGCTCAAGCGACACTAAATCGCTGGTACGAGTATGCCAATGGCAATGGCCTTTGTGAAGCATTCGAAGCATTTCCCTCATGGCATTTGGGTGTAGTCAGCAATGTGATGGCACTTGCCATATGGCAAAGCTGCGAAACATTCTCCTAGAGTATTAAATATTCGCTTAGATCTTGCTCAGGTTTTTTGTTTGTGGTGTGGCGAACGTTTTGCTGGAATTTAACAACTGACCGCACACACAAAAATATTTTTGCCACACCCGAGGCGACAACAAAAACCCACAAGGATGGCTGGGATGGCTGGAACAGGAACGCACCAGTTGACGAGGGGAAGGCCTCAAGTGGCGCAAGAGCACTTAATACTAATTAGCTTTGCGCCTACGCCGTGACCTACGACCTGCCCCAGCGAGCGGTTGGCATTTCCGGCTACAGTGCCGCATCCTGTGGCAAGCAGGGAGAGCGGGGCCATTGGCAATCTGTGCCGCGCTTAAGTGGCCGCAACACGCAGCAACATGAAAAGTCTGGGCTAGGTGTGGGGCTAACAGCTTTTTGGGGCGTCATTTTTATGAGCTAATTAAGTTGTTAGACCTGATGAAAAACTCATTTCGTCGGAGGTCCATATCTAATTTGCATTAATTACGAGCTCGCGAGCTCGCGACAGCACAACAATAAATGACGAACGAATTATTTGAGTTACTTTGATTTATTTTTGGGGTTTTTCTGTCAAATGTCAAACGGCTTTAAGCCGCATTCTCGGCCAATTAATAATCCATCCGAAACTCTCTAGGAGCACAGTTTATTGCCAGCCATTTAATTGGCCAGCAATTTGCATTTATTGGCAAGACCCAAAAGGAAAAAGAATGCAAAATAAAATAAGGGCAAAACTTTGCTGTCCGCAAAGACTTTGCTGAAATGTTTGTGCAACACTTGCAACACTTTCCATGTTGCATGGAATGTCGTTCGTCTTGTGCAAGTGCAAATTTGCACATAGTTTATAATTTGCTTAGCAACTTGGGGCAGGGTCTGGTCCAGGACCAGAGCAATTGAAATGAGAGCGCACAACTTTTTAATGGCCAACGGCTCGAGGAACTTGCACAAGACGTTCCCCGTTCGGGTTCCAGAGTTAGCCAGGCCGAAAAACTTTTCGAATTATGAATGAATGGCTAAGCACTTTTTTATGGGCATTGCACTGGACAAGCTGGATGACATCAATTGCTTGGGCACAGCGCTCTTAATCGGAAAACTTTTCAATCTTGGCACGATGTAAAGGGTTAGCCAGCACTTTAAATGGCGCTTAGAGATTGCCATAAGTAAAGCCAATTGCATTTGAAGACTACATTCCAGTTAATGTAAATCTAAGGCTCAAAAGTATCCATCAACAATCAGCCAAAAAGAAACAGCCATTGAATGCTCCCCTGGGGCTCCCTGTGGCAAGTCATCACAATAAATGCCAATTTATTATTTTTGCTCTATTTTTTTGTTTGGAGGAAACTCGAATCAAGTTTTGGCCAGCAAATCGAACAATGATTGATCATTATTTCGCCAGCAATCAAGTTGAAGCAGCCACTGGACTGGTCCCAATTAAATCGTTGACAGAAAAGAAATTTTCTCACAGCCATCCATAATGATTGTGTAACGAATATGCTGGCCAAAAAAGTTTGCAGCGACAAACTTTGAGGAGCGAACCAGCCAGAACAGAAGTGTTACCTTATTGAGGACTGCTCTGGACTGCGCTGTCGGAGTCGGTGTCGCTGTCGTGATAAATTATGTTAATAATGTTGAGTAGGCAACTTGCCTGAAAGTTGAAAGCTACAAAACTTTTATACAGCAAGCGCGGGCTCACGGCTCATCCCTTGTCAAGAATCAGGCCACGTCCCGGAGACTTCCACTCTGCCTCACTTGTTTGAACCACTTTTCGACCATAATATTGTGTGCATATCATATTGAGTGGGTCCGACCGAAGCCCTAAGTAGTTGGCCACACTTCTGGCCACACAAACTCGCATACTTTATTAATTCACTT